AACAGAAGTACAGGAAAGCCTTTGCCTCTTTATAACTTTTAGACTTTGAAGTATAATGGAAGGGGAAGGGAGGAGATAAAGAGCCATCTCAGCCATGATTTTTTAAAGTTATATGATTAGCTGATCACAAAATCGTTGGATAAAAAACCTGAAGATAGTTAAAAGAATGAGCTTTGAGTTGCTGGACGACTGATTAAGGCAAATAATCTTTTAGGGACTGGTGGCTGCTGTGTGAAAAAATGCTTTACCTAATGAATGCAGGACAGAGGACAATTACATCATAGTAAAATTGGAGGGGGGAGTTCACAGCATGCAGGGTTGAGTGGGTTAAGTTTTCCATTGTTACACATGCAACTATTCCTATTCATTTTTTGCTGAAAATTGGAAAGCATTGTATACCTTCTGGGGAGTTTTCAACCAGATTTTACCAATGAAATTTTGATGGTCTCTAAAAATAGTGGTTTGGAGACTAAAATGCAGCAGGTTGCCATTTTCTGCACTAGGGTACTTATGGGCAATCTAGTCATTACATAATGATTTCCAGATGCTTTTGTTTGTTTTTGGAAAAGCACTGTATGAGGCTATGCATTTATATGAAAGAGACAGCACCAGAGCCCACTTTTTATATCTCCTTCTCTGAGCTGCTTTTTCGTTAGCTGATCCAGCACTCCCTTCACTTCTTTTGAATGATCACCCAGTATTTATGAACATCCCAACTTTAATAGGCTTCCTTTTAAAGGTATGCCCCTCTTTTTCTAGGCAGCAGAGGATTGGAAAGTGTGTATCCCTCACTGGACAAAAAACAAATGAACAAACCAACCCCAAAGCCCAATTTACTTTGCCTTTTGTGCCTCAAAAAGGAGTACTTGTCCATCAAAATATATGATACTAGGCTGGCTCCAGTTCTGCATTAATAATAGTGTTAAATAATTACTTTAATAACATCTTACTGCTGAAGCCTGCAGTTGTATACAAAGGTTGTATAGCATTTACATGGAGAAACTAGAGAATCTCTTAGGATTTTTGTCTCTAGTTTATGCTAATGCAGATGTTGTTCAGTATAACTGTATGTGCTCAAGGAACTATCCAGAAGACCTCTGCCATTCATGAAATAGATGATCAAGTTGAAATAATTCCAGACAAGATGTAGAAACCACTGATATTGTTCCATAGCATTTTTCTTTCCACCACTATGCCAATAGGGAGGAATAGCGGTGGAAAGAAAAATGCTATGGAAGACTATCTCTGTGGATGTGTACCAGGTGGGATGCTTTGAGCTTAAACATACTTAGAGGAGGGAATCGTATGGAACTCAGTGAGGTTTCCTTCTGAGTGGACATGTTTGGGTTTGGACTGAAAGTAACAGAAGGTGTTGCAGCTGTCTTCCTTCATCTGTTGCAGGTATTCAAGGTGAAAGCTGTGCAACTAGCAGGAAGGCTCCTCCCTGCCTTCAATACACCCACAGGGATTCCTTGGGCAATGGTGAATTTGAAAAGGTATGAGTGTGGGCAGAGAAGCCTGGCACAGTGAAGAATAATGTAAAACCTCTGATTGGCTTCTCCTGCTGCTGCTGAAGACCTGCAAGTTTACACAGTGTGGTGTTTTCTCTTTTTTGACTGCTTTTAATTGTGCTTATGTTAAGCACATAACTTCAAGCTGTGCTAAACTTTTATTAGTTAACTGTCATTTTCTTTCATTGCTTGTTGTTTATTGTAAACGCATTTTCTTAGCCTTTTCCTATCATTTTCTAATTAGTGGTGTAGGTCGCAACTGGGGCTGGGCTTCTGCTGGCAGCAGCATCCTCTCAGAGTTCGGTACGCTCCATATGGAATTTGTACACCTCAGCTATCTGACTGGCAACCCTGTCTACTATGAAAAGGTTTGTTCTGTGCCTCTTTCTGATGCACTCATTCAGTTCAAGGCTTGTGAAACTGTAGATGACATGGAAAAATGCATGTGTTTCTGTGTGTATGTGCATACATACACCCACTTATGTGTACACATATGCATGCATATACACATATATCTTTCTTGTCCCAATATTTCTTTAAATGTAGTTTTAAGACAGGTTATTAGTTCAATTATAACATGTCTAATCCTTCAGAATACATTAAGAAACCTATTTGGTCTTGTAATTGATAAAAGAAAATCTGATTTTAAAAAGAGGAATGTTGAGAGGAAACTCTGGTAACTTTTTTTTCCCATTAAGGTCATGCATATTCGTAAATTGCTCCAGAAAATGGACCGCCCTAATGGGCTTTATCCAAACTACTTGAATCCAAGGACTGGGCGCTGGGGTCAGCGTAAGTATTTCTTTCACATAAATTGCAAACTAAATCTGGGTGTCCTGTATGAATGTTCATGTGTGTCTGTCCATAAATTCACTTCAGCCTTCTTCAGAAACTCAGTTTAATGTCATGATTTTAGTTAACGAATAGTCTTTGGTGGGTTGTAGGCTCCAAGATCAATACTCTGCATGCTCTAATTTTTTCCTTCATGGCTGATGATGTTTATGATTTGACATGGATATCTGAACTGGGCCTCCTGTGGATGCATTAAATCAAAATTTGCTTCTAAAAAAGAGTGGGAAACCTTGTTCCAGTTACGATTTCTAGGATTGTGTGGCTGCAGCAGAAGTTACTCCGCAAAAGCCAAGTGATCCTGAAAAAAGATTACTGCTGATTAGAGTTTAGCTAATTGCCAAGGTGTTGTTATGCCTATATGAGTCTGTGAATGTTCTCATTCATGTGACTTACGTAAGGTGGAGAAAGGTGCCAGTTTTTCAACCATGCTGTGTGTGTTCTGTACATGATATTAAAACAGGTTGTAGAGTTGTCCGTCCAGAATATCTTGACCAAAATAAAGATAGCTTTAAGGTGACTTCAGTATTCTTAGTTAACATATTACAGCAGAGCTCCTTCAGAGAATAAGGGCAAAAAATAATCAACTGAATGCAGCCAGGGGTACCCATAACCATTTTTCTGATGTACAGAGCTTGTCAGGTGATATTTAAAAGCTGTCACCCACTGCCTGGGGTGGGGTGGGAGTTCCTGCTCATGATGACTCATCACTTTGCCTCTTGATCAGGGGTTCTGGGGAAAAAAATTAACAGGTTCAACCTCCTGAAAAGGTTTGAAAATGCCTGTCTTAAAGGTCAAAATAACAATTCAAAATTACTTTGGCAGTCTTGACCATTAGGTCCAGTAAGAGAAGTGGCAAGTATAACATTGTCCATCTGGATAGGAGGAATCAAATGCACATATGCAGGATTGGGGAGACCTGCTTGGTGGTAGTGTGCACTAGAAGTACTAGTGGGTCACCAGCTGAACATGAGTAAACAGTATGGTGCAGCAGCTAAAAAGAGCAATGTGACCTTGGACAGCATTAATGGGAAGTAGTAATTCCTTTATACTTTGCAATGGTTAGACAAGTAGAAGCTGAAGCCTGTTCAAAAGAGAGTTGTCAGGATGATAAGCAGCCTGAAAATCAAGTTGTTTGAGGAATGATTAAAGTTGCTGAGTATCTTCAGCTTGCAAAAGTGAGGACTGAGGGGAGATAAGATAATGGTCTACAAACATCTAAAGGGCTCTTACATGAAAGAGGGGAAAACATTTTTCTCTGTTGAAACTGAGAGCAAGAGAAGAATCTACAGGTTAAATTTAAAAGAAAGATTCAGGCTGAATATCAAGAGGAATTTCTTGCCAGTAAGAGCTGTAAAGCAGCGGGGTACTATCTCTAGAAAGATAGTGGATTTCTCACTGGATGTTTTCAAATGGGCTTTGAATAGCAACCTGTTTGGGGCAGTTTAGTGGATTTCTGCCCTGTACAGGGGATTGGACTAAATGACCTATGAGGTCACTTCCTTCTCAATTTTATAATTGTACGTGTTCTAACAAAACTCGTCAAGCAAATCAATACATTTCGTAATTATTTTAGGAAATGATGGCGGAAACCGATGGTTGTGGAAATAGTGTACAATAATACAGTGGGAATGAGATAAGTATGTGCCTATTAGAACAGATGTTTTATGCACATGCACACATATTTTCTTGCAATCCTATGTCATATGTTTTAAGGATTTGAGACAGAAAACATTCTCTCTCTGAGAAATAAATATTATCCTGATATTGATAATTTAGAATATTTCAAACATTATTGAACTTTCAGTAAACTTACTTTCCATTATTTGATGTTCTGTAAATTGTTTTAATGAAATGTTGTATTTCATTTTCTGTTCAGATACCAATGGAGCAGCACCTTTTTACTAATGTAGAATTGTAACAACTTTCCATTTTCAACTGAGAGCCAGCATGGGGTAGTGGTTAAAATGTTGGAATAAGGTCAGGGGAAACTCAGATTCAAGTCCATGGAAACTTCCCGGGAGACTTTGGGCCTGTTGCTCTATCTCAGAGGGTGCTTGGGTATCCCCAAGGAAGGCATCTTTAACTTAAGATGCCTTGATGATTTGACTCAAAGGTTTTGCCCAGAATGGTGGGTTATAAAAAGTTATTCTCTGTGTGAGTTGCAGTTTATTCAATTACACAGTCCTGACTGTGACATTTCTGATCAGTTTATTAAAAATCTGGGAAATGCTTTAACGCTTATGCAAATAGGTTCCAAGGAAATTATAACAAGGAGAGCTTCATTCCTTACATTGCTAGATGAAATATGAAAATATTTCTACAACATTAGCTTTTTTCATCCAGGTTTGTGGATTTTGTATTTGCAAATCACAGCAATCTTGCATACGCTGTTTATATTTATGCATACTCCCTGTCTCTGTCTCTTTCTCTTAACAGATCACACATCCATGGGTGGTTTGGGAGACAGTTTTTATGAATACTTGCTGAAAGCTTGGTTGATGTCAGATAAGATGGACGTGGAGGCAAGGAAAATGTATGATGATGCTATTGAGGTGATTATAGTGCATTGATTCCCCCTTTCCCCAAGCAATTATTGGTTGTTTTTTTTTAAGAATAAGAATGAAAACAAAAATACATCCTTAGCTTAGCTCATTTTGTTCTATTACTTGAAAATGTTGTTTGGGGATTGAGTACACCATGAGCAAAAGAACTGGATATAAATGATGAAGTAGTCCTAAGCAATAGCATTTAAAAACTCCTATTGGGGTACTTACTATAACTCTGGAAAGATGAACAGTGTATCAAATTTCTGAAAAATGTTGTTTAAAAATGGGCACATATTTTTGAAGTATTTAATATTAATAAAACAGCAACAAAATAGTTTAGTCAACAGGTATGCTGATTACTTACTTAACTGTTACTGTAAGCAGTGAAATTTATTTGAAAACATGGGACTCACTTTGTATATTTTTACAATATAATGTAGAATTTCTGTTGATGGAAACAATTTGTGTTTCTTTTTAGGGATTCTTCTAGTTTTAATTTATTCAATTTGCTATGTTTATTCTTCCTTTCTGTATAGGGCAGCATCTGCAGCTTTCCATCCCATCTTTTTCTAACAAATCCCTTTGCTGTAAGTTACTGGAGAAAGTATGTGGCCCACGGTCATCTAGCTGAGTGTAGATTTGAGTTTCTCCTAGTTCATCGTCCAAGCTGCTGCTTGGTTATTTGGTTTGTTCCTGGCTGCTACAGGCAAACAAGTTCTCACTCTTACCTTGCTTTATTTTATTATAATAGCATAGAATCATAGAATGTAAGAGGGGAAATTGGAATCCATCTATTCAAATAACCTGCCCACTGCAGGAATCTACTGCTTCAGCCTCCCCGAGAGATGGCCATACAGCCTCTGTTTAAACATCTCCACTGAAGGAAAATCTACCACTTTGTGAGGCAGTCAGTTCCATTGTTAAACAGCTCTTAATGTTAGGATTTTTTTCCTATGTCCAACTAAAGTTTAATTCTCTGTAATTTAAACAGATTTAAATCCTGAAATAATTCTACATGGTAGCTCTTCAGGTATCAGTTATCTGGATATTCAGTTATCCTATCTCGCTGCAAACTTGCTCTTCAAATTAAAAATGTCCAGGGTCTCCAACTGTTTCTCAGAGGATTTTCCTTCTAGGCCCCTTGTCATTCCTAACCATCTCTTTACTTACCTGGGGTTGCCACTCCTGCTTGTATCAGTTGTTCTACTCAGATACATTTGAACATAGTTCCCTTTTGGAGAAAAGATTGTACAGTAGCATTTGAACTCTGCTCTTTCCCCATCACCAGCAGTGGGCCCACCCCCTTGTTTTTCTTCCTTTTACGACTGACATAACCAAAAAAGCCCTTTTAGTTGCTTTTAGCTTCTCTTGTCAATATAAGGTCCTTTTATGTGTTAACATTTCTGACCTTTTCCTGCAGTTGCTAGCTATTTGTTAGTATACCTTCTTTTTTCCCCCTCTGATACATTTTTTAATTAACTAAATACACAAAACAAAGAGAAAGAATATACAAAATTATAAAAGAAGAAAAAAAATAGAAAAAACCCAAAACATACAAAATATATATTTACAGACATACATATATCAATAACTTGAGGCCATGATTAATTTTAGTCATCCACAGTGGACCTATATTAATTCTGCAAACTGCTGAATAGTTGGAGCCATATGTTTGTGTTTCCAATGCAGAACAATAAGTCTTTTGATTGTATGTCCATTTTCTTTGTCCAGAAATCCATTGATATAAACATCTGAAAATATTAAATCTCAAGGTTGAGTTGATACATGTAGGCTTCTTACTGAGATGGAACAATATATTTAAATAAAACATTGATTTCACTGCATCTCCTACAACATAAGGGCAATTAGGTCATTTCTAAAACATTTCCTGTTGAAAAGGATGTAATCTAAAATATATTGACATGTTTATTTTTTTAAGCTCTCTTATTATTATTCTCTCTGAAGTGAAACATACAAAGAAAAAAGAGAAAATATATATACAGTTTACACACACACACACACACACACACTTACACTTAAAGGGTTTTGAGAAAAATTAGAAAAACGAAACAAAAGTTATAAACAAGCATTCTGGTAGCCCCCCTCTTCTTTCTTTCTCCCTCTCCCCCCCCCCATTAATTGCTGCATGGATATTTTTATACTTTACTTTGAACATTATTACTCACTTCTGTTTGGATCATTTTAATTGTTGTTATTTTTATGATTAAAACAGTTTCTCTTTTTCTTCAAAAACCGTATTCTAAGTGTCTTAGCTTGCCTTGCTATTCAAGCATTCCTGCTTGAATTTGGTTAGATTTCTGCTGTGAATTTACAGTGGGGCAAAAAAGTATTTAGTCAGCCACCAATTGTGCAAGTTCTCCCACT